GCAGGTCTTTCAGTTTTTTTTAGTCTATTTTTAGGGGCTGTTTGGAAGGTACCTTTACCAACTGCGGCAATATAGAGTCATGGAATTATACTGAAGAGGCTCTTCGGTATATCACATCTGCACTGATAAAAACTGCTCTTAATCTACACTAGTCCCATTTTCCAGCACTTGGCCCTGAGCATTGAATGTTATGACATTTCAAGTGTTCACCAAGTACTTTTTAAAGGTTGTGTAGTTTCCCACCTCAACTACCCTGCCAGCAGTGCATTCCAGATCCCACCACTCTGGTTATTTTTTTTTCTCAAATCACCTCTAAATCTTCTGCTTTTCAGCTTAAAATTATGCCCTTTTTTAATGACCTTACGAATAAGTGGAACAGCTGCTTTCAATTCACTCTGTTCATGTCCCATTATCTTATACACCTCATCAGGTCCCCTCTCAACATTCTTTGCTCAAAAGAAAACACCCCGGGCTTATTCAGCATCTCATCTTTGTTAAAACGCTCCATCCTAGGCAACATCCTGATGAATCTCCTCTGCACCGCTGCAGTGCAATCATATTCTTCCTGCCAGAACTGCAGACAGTACTTCAGCTATGGCTTAACCAAGTTTTGTACAGCTGCAACATAACCTTATAACATATGCCACGACTAATAAAGGCAAGTGTCCTGTATGCCTCTTAAGTACACTGTTAACTGGTTCTGCTCCCTTTGGGGATCTGTGAATAAGCATCCCAACATTGCTGTGTTCCTCTAAACCTCCTAGTGTTTTGTTATTCGTTGAATACTCCCTTGTCTTGTTACTTCTTCCAAAGTGCGTCACTTCTCACTTATTCCATCCGCCACTGATCTGCCTCTCTGCCCAATCAATCTGTATCCTCCTGTAACCTAAGATCCTCACTATCAACCACCCAGCCAATCTTTGTGTCACCCACAAACTTATTTATCAACCCTTCACATTTTCTTCTACATTGTTTATATATGATGTGGAGGTGCCAGTGTTGGACTCGGGTGGACAATGCGAGAAGTCACACAACACCAGGTTATAGTCCAATAAACTGTATCAACTGCACTACCCTCATCTACACATCTAGTCACCTCCTCAAAAATGCAATCAAATTTGTTAGACATGACTTACCTCTGACAAAGCCATGCTGAATATCCCTGATCAATCCTTGCCTCCCAAAGTGGAGATTAATTCTCTCCTTCAGAATTTTCTCCAATACTTTCCCTACCACTGATGTGAGACTCACTGGACTATATATTTCCCTGGTCTATATGTACCAGCCTTATTGTAAAGTTGTGCTATATTAGCTGTCCTCCAGTCCTCTGGCACATCTCCTGTGAGCAGGGAGAAATTAAAAATTTGTCAGAGCTCCGATAATTTCCTTCCTCGTCTCCCACCCTGGGAATTAATTCAGCTGGAAATGGGGATTTGTCCACTTTTAAGCCCACCAAGACCTGTAACACCTCCTCTCTTCCTATGTCAAACATCTCAAGAACCTCACAGTCTCTCTTCCCAAAGTTTGAATCCTCTGTCTCCAAAGTGAAGACTAACGTGAAATACCCATAGAGTCATACAGTATGGAAACAGACCCTTCAGTCCAACCAGTCCATGCCAACCATAATCCCAAACTAAACTAGTCCTACCTGCCTGCGCTTGGCCCATATCCCTCCCAATATTTCTTATTCATGTACTTATCCAAATGTCTTTTAAACGTGGTAATTGTGCCCACATCCACCACTTCCTCAGGAATTTCATTCCACACACGAACCACTCAAAGTGTTAAAAAAATCCCCCTCATGTCTTTTTTAAATCTTTCTCCTTTCACCTTAAAAGTATGCCCCCTAGTCTTGAAGGCCCCCATCCTAGGGAAAAGACACTTGCCAGTCACCTTGTCTGTACCCCTCATGATTTTTATAAACCTCTATAAGGTCACCGCTCAACCTCCTCAGCTCCAGTGAGAAGAATCCCAGCCTATCCAGCCTGTCCTTATAACTCAAACCCTCCATTCTGGCAACATCCTGATAAATCTCTTAAATAAATCTCTTTTAAATACTCATTCCACACCCTATACCATTATTCTCTATCTGCAAGCACAAATTGCCCCCTTGGTCGTACTCATTCCCTGGCTTTCCTTTTCCCCTTGGTATACTTATAGAATATCTTGGGATTCTCCCTCATGTTACATGCCAGTGATTTTTCATACCCTTTCTCTCAGATAAGGCAGGACAATCTCTCCAAAATGAATTCTGTAGGAGAGGGATAGTTGTATAAAACAAGTTATGCCCATACCAATCTTACCACTGATGCCAACGTAGTCTCCAGGCTTGATAGATGAGGAATTACTCATCAGTCTTCATTCTGTCTGTAAATGGTGGTGTCAAATGTGCACCCACAGAAAGATTCCTGATCATCTTTAGTGAGCACAGACTCTCCACAGTTTTCTGTGAAACTCAGTAGTCATTTCACAAGCAATTTCTCAACACATCTGTCTTCATTTATTTGACTTGCGCAAAATATAATTCATCTTATTTGGCTTGGGTAAGTTGTGAGAGAAAGATGGCCTTTACTTCACAGAGACTAGCCAAGTGCTGTTCCTTCATTGGTTTCTTATTTAATTCCCGGCTTGAACGTCATATTCAATCTCGAAGAAAATGGAAAATTAACTAAAGTGCGTAAAATTTAATTAGGGTGGAGAGTTCCAGTATTCCATCGGGATCAGGTCAACAGATCCAACGTATACTTCAATCAAGGTTACAAAAGTAGCTTTGAACTGATGAACTCTCTGCTCTTCAGTCAGCTGTGATGGAATTTTACATTGCTGTTAACGTCATGAGAGACAGGAATCCTTTCACACTTCACTAATCTGCATTTTCAGTTGCTGTATTCCACATCACTAATCCTTACTAATTACAAACATTCACTAGGCAGCTACTGTTCTCCATTGTTACAACTGACAATTATTTTCAATGTTGCTGTGCTGAATAGCTCTCTAATTTCTGACATACGCAGCCAAGGGGAAAGCAATGAAGTGAGCTTTACATCCCCAATGCTCTGGCTTGTCCTCGTAGTCTAGTGATGAAAATGATGCAGTGCCAAGCCGCTAAGGGACTGAAGTAAGAATACAAGGGGCCACCATTCCTCCTGTTCTTCATTGTTCAACTATTTTAAAATTCTCCTCAGCTTGACCTACTCAACCAACTTTCTAGCATGGTCAAAAAAAATGTAATTCTAAATGTTCATCGTAAAGCTGTTGGGCTTTTTTATAGCTACATAAGCGCTGATTGATAAATTATTTTGTTTTGTGCTTGTTCCTGGGACACTTCTGT